TCAAATCTATAGGCTTGATTAGGCTTGATTATTAATCACTCCTAATCACTCCTAATCACTTCTAATCACTTCTAATCACTCTTAATCAAACCTAATCAATAATCAGCTGTTTCCCCCTTGACATAATGTCTTAAAGATGAACTATGGCGTGATGGTAAATCATCAAGCGAAAAATAAAATGTTGTCAGTTTGTGTGCAGCATTCTTACCTATCAATGGATTAACAACACCTAAATCATCAGAGTACAACTGTAATAATAAAGAATTTTTATTATTATTTAAGATATGATGTTGTCGTCCAATTTTTGCATTTCGATAATGATAAATAATATCTTCTTCATGAAATTTAGATATAATTTCGTTTTCTTGTTTAATGCTGTCATAAAAATCTTTTTTTTCAAATAAATTCATGAGTAGATCACATAATGGAATGTAATAAGCTTTATTTCCCGTAGGTAAGATTATTTCTTTTGGTTTGACAAACTTGAAATAAATTTGACAAGAAGAAATAAATGAATCTTCACTTTCTGATATTTCAAATAATGTTTTTTCAACATCATTGTTAAAATTGTTTGATATGACATTATTAATATTCATGTGAAGCTTTGATAACAAATGATATGAAAAAATTTCTAATAGACAGGTAATAGATAATGCCATAGTCTTCATAACATTACCAGGAAGTACATGACCTTCTCGTACTTTTAACAGCATCTTCAAATAAAAATTTTTGATATCATCTAATGGATCATGATTTTCGTATTGCCACGATAAAATTCGTTGTTCTTGTTGTTCATGTTGTTCATGTTGTTCATGTTGTTCAATTTCAATTTCACCATAATTGTTTAAATTAAAGTCATTACAATCTAATAGCAACGATAACGGAGGCATCTCTTGAGAAGAACGACCTAAATGATGATTACGAAGATGATTCATAAAAGATTTTAGATTAGTAAATATGAAATAAGAGTCACACAATGGGCAGTTTGTGCCAAATAAACGATCATTCCCATGCACTTGTCGCATATGGCGCAGGTATCCAGCTTCTCCGTCAACACGTATAGGACAAATGGTACATTGTTTAACACGACTAATAGACATTGATGAAGTAATAACAAATGTAAATTGAATAAATCAAATAAGTATAATCTTAAAGTAAAAAGAAAAAATGCATAATATTAAAATTTATAGTTATGTGGCTCTTTTGTTTTCTGAATACAATAACTACTAATCCCATAAATGTGAAATATAGTAGATATACGAAAATGCTTCTTCTATATATAGCAACAATATGGGTACCAAATAATGAAAAATAAGTAAGTGATTGCATAATAGTTCAATAATGACCTAACAATAGGCGACGTCGACGATGGCAATGGTTACCAAAGACGAAGAAATCGACGAAAATGAATTCGAAGAAAACAAGAGGAAAATAAAGTGAAATATATGTGCTGAATAATATGATAGTAAATTTATCTGGCGTTAATACAATGGAAAAGATGGCGAGACGACAAAAGCAAAAGCAAACGAATAGCTAATGGAGAAAAGTTATTCGCCGTCCAAATTAGTTTCATCTTATTTTTTCAAACTTGAAAAGAATTTTTAAGCATTTTCTCTCCATTCCGATCACAGTCTCAATTAAGATGTAGCTACTTTTTTGGAAAAAATGCTTTAATATTGTAGCAATAATCGATTTTGCTGCAAGAATCGCCATCGTAAATATAAGATATAAAATTTAACACATTTTTGGTCAAAGAACATATAAAATCGCTATAAGCTGACCTAGCATATGCAGCAAAGGCATTATCAACATAGATGAATGAAAGCAAATTTGTTTACATCTTTCAAATAATCGTACACACTCTTGCTAATGTAAAGTATTCTAGAATAATTCCGCACTGTTCAGGTCTCAAGTTATTACTGGTAATTGACAAAACTGTGCAACTAACTCTTCATAAGTAGTCAGTAGAACTTAATATAGTGTAGCTAACGAATTTTCTCTAATAAATGAGTAAAAAAATTGAATCTGATCACATTACAAATATATTGGATTGAGGAAATTGTGGATTGTGAACATTAGGAACCAATTATATAAACTAATTTAAAAAAAAAGCTAGTGATAGCCAAATAACCATAAACATCATTACTTTTCCGAATTCGTAATTAATTTTCAAATGTTGTTCATAATCCGTATCGATTTTCTCCTTTTTCGAAAATCGATGTTTTGAGAAAATCAAATTGAAATTTTGTCATTTTGAAAATCAAAGATTTTCAAGATGCACTGAATTCAATAAATGAATCATGAAACGCTAAAAATCCTCAAGCTTTCTCAATCTCGATTTTTTAAAAGATAGAATTTAAAAAAAATTACAGTGTAGTTTTATCGCGTGCAAAACATCGAACAAATCATTGATGTTCATCAATCCAAAATGAACTTCGAAATGAATCCACTAATTGGTCCACTTCTTTTTGGATATTTTTATTGAGAACAAAGATGTTTTCCATTCGAAGTCGAAATCGTTTCAGTTTGGGTACATTTTTACGAATGATTTGTTCCCATTGATTCCCATTGATTGGATAATAGCATACACAGACACGTAAAGAATGTAGATTGGGTGTGTTTTGCAAAAGAGAAATCATCTTCGACATGTCAGACGTACAAAATAGAGTAATATCCAAATGGATTAGTGTTGGACAAGGAAATAAGATAAGATTATCGTTATCATCATCGGCAAAGTTAATAAATAACGAAAGTCGTTTAAGACGAGGAGTGCGTTCGAAGAATCGATTGATCTGACTCGATTTTAGTTGATAATCAGGTATATCAACATATTTAAGAGTAGAAGATAGTTTTGTTGGTATACAATATCTCTGCTTCCGTTGAGGGGGAATGAGAAAATTGCAATAAGGTAATTTCGGTAAACTCCAGATTTTGTCAATTATGAATTGCAAATCCGTATCACATTTTTGTAAAGAAAAACATTAACATTTGAACTGGTTGAGATTACATAGATATTGACATTCATTGATCACTTTAATTAATATTTGATATGAATAAATATTGAATATAGAAAGTATTCGCAAGTGAATGAATTGATTGAATGATGGAATGTAAGAAAAAAAGAGATCAATTTGTCCTGGAGTATTATTCGTGTTCGAAAGGCGAAGTGTAGTAACTTGATCGGCAATGAATGGTAAATGTTTTTGACATATCATATCAAAATCACATTTTGATGTTAAAGAAAATTCAAAAGAATAGAATCGAAACTGGTGAGAAAGAAGAGACTTGAAGCGAGAATTAAGTTCATAAAATGCATGAACAAAAGCAATACCATCAAAATAATGGAATATATCAAGTATGATCTCATTAGGTAAGGATTCGAAATTCATTTTCTTCACGTACAAAAATACAATTGTTGTCCGTGGTACAGATTATGGCGTGAATTGATCTGTATAAATAATATATAGTTTGACAATAACAATGAAGCAACCTATCCAAGCAAAAAGAAACAATAGCCGTCATTATTAGTTGTCTTCAACGCTGCCATGCCTACTCTGGAAAAAAAAAGGAGGTTTGCAGAACCCCTCAAAAAGGTTCTGTA